CCGGAGGACAGGTCCATCAACAATCTGGAACAAGCAGCAGCCAAAAATGGCAGCTCCAGCTGAAAACAATCATTTCCTGCAAACAATACACATGGCTAAGCAATATTCAGAGAGGAAACCATAATAGCAATCACTGGATAAAGCATAGCTTTACATTTACTCAAATTTAAAGTTCCTTTAGAATAGAAATACTTTGAAAGATTATACATATTGTAATGTAATCTCAATCAATGCTTTTCTAGACTTATTGACGGCTTCTTTGCTATCACCAAACCTTACATTCTTGACAGGAAAAGTCTAGTCTTCACCATCTCATATCCTTTGCAAATGAGATTCATGCAACCTCAAAACTATATCCCAACCAATAGCTGTACCTCAGCCAGCAAACTACTTCACCCCCGACTAAAGAAGTATCCCATCTTACCTTCTCTTCAGGTGCAGAACTTAGCCACTGTGAACAAAGAGGAGATCAATCACTGTTCACCAATCAGCTAAGCTCTGCACCTTGTTAGAGAGATCATCATCTCAGCATAGTGAAAGTTCGGACGAGGGTTTTCTGTAGTGCATTTTCTTCTGTTTTGACTTTTTTTTGGTAGAAGATTCCAGTGAACATATAAGACAGGTACAAGGATTTTCATAATAGGATGCAGTGTCATGGTTATGTGGTAATCCCTGGCAATGTGATTTTAATCTTAAATCACAAATCAGCATGCCAGGAACCCAAACAGCCACAACATTAAGGAACACTTGTGTAGTTTCTCTCCTGTCACACGATCCAGTATAAAACTACAATGGTATTTCTTAAAATATCAGATTTACATTCTCTGACAATGCTTAAGATCTCATCTCCTTCAGGTAAGCAATTACATACTTTTATTTAGATTGCCTGTTTGGCACTTCAGAAACACATGCTAATTCTGGACTATTTACAGGAACCATGCACTAAGTCTCAGAAGTGTAATTTAAAAAAACGTAATTAAAAAATGAGTGGTCCTATGGCACCTTAAAGTTACTTGAAGTCAATTAACAGTTATAATAAATTTTAACACTAAATAAAACTCCCCTAACATATTTAAGAGACTCCTGGCAGAAAACATTATATTGCAGCAGATCAAACCATTCTAACTATATATTTCTGGCCCAAAGTGCAGTTAAAAACATTTGAAGCCATTACAAATAGGCCCAGCTCTTTGTGTTTTGTTTGGGGGTCAGTAGCTGGTTCTCCTCCTAGATTATTAGAACATGACTGTGCCTACAAACATTTTTGCTGTCTCCTGGTTGTTTTAGAAAGCAAAACTCACCATAACAGATATTCTGGCACTCTAAAGCTATTCCAAATCCTCTCCCCTTCTCCCCCCAATTTTCTTGGCAGGCATAGGCATAGAGTCAGTGTCTATTCAGTACCAAATACTGAGAGTGCGCTCGTTTAGCTAACTAATCACATTTTGTAACCACAAAAATCAACTGTTAAGTTACATGTTCGGTCAGATGGCTTATTGTTATGCAAAAATCTGAGGTATGCCATACTGGAAAAGATAGTCATACCAAACCTGACTGACTATGTTTGTACATGCATGTTTAACACCTAAGGTAACCTCAGGGTAGTTACATAGGTTGAAAGACTGGAATATGTCACTATATAGTATTCTGTGTAAAAGGCCAGTTTATAACCGGTAAAAAAATGTCTTTATCCTTTGTGTTTGTACTTTACTTGAAATTTGGCTTTCATCTGCTTTTAGTGGCTAAGGGACAAAAGTAGAAATCATCTCATTAATTTCAAACAGAGCTAGAAACAAATCAAAATTAAGTTATAAATGTTTATCTTTGTACAACTCTCATTAGCATCTCTTTATAAACAGATACCCATCCCTCTAGGAAGTAAGATGTGGGCTGGATCCTAAGCCACCAGATCTGGCTCAGGGGGCCCATCCCATTGGGACCTTCAGGCATAGAGCAGCTCACATCACCACTTTAAGCAGCTGTTCCCTGTGGCTCTCTGCTGTGTGGGGGGCGGAGGGGGAAGAAAGGGAAGGCTTCACATATTGCCCCTGCCTCCCAGCAAAACTCTCTCCATTCTCCTTATCCAATGTCTGGCCAGTAGGAGCTAAGAGATTTTGCTGGGAGGCAGGGACAGCACACAAACCTCCCTCCCTTGCCCAGAGCAGAAAGGCAGATGGCAGGAGCAGACAGCATTTTTGAGCTGACTGGGGCTGCTGACTGGGAATCTAGGTAACTACCTCATGGCCAGAGCCTGCTCGGGCACCCACATTCTCTTCCTCTCTCAGGCCACTACTGCCTCCTCCTGCCCCAGTTTACCACCCAAAGCCTCTGCACCCTGTCCTCCAGGTCATAACTCCCTCACAGACCCTGAACCCCAAGCTCCTGCTCCAGGATCACAACCCCCTCCTTCACTCAAACGCCCTCTCAGATCCCACACCCTGAGCTCTGTTCTGCACCCAACATCCATGCCAGACACTGTACCCCTTGACCACTTACCAGAACTGAGTGGTGACTCCATCAAAAATTATTGCCTACCCCGTCCCAGAATAATCAATACTGATCTTAATTCCCTCACATAAAATATTCAAAAGCCCTAACTATACTTTAGCAAAAAAATATGTACAACACAATTTGACAACTAATAAGGGTATAATTTCAGTGTCTCATAGGGACACTGATTTTGTTAAACAACTCTAATTACCGTCCCCTAGCAAGTTCGTAGCATGTTTTCTATTTGCAACTGTGAGACATGAGGCCACATTTAAGGGGTTTTGTAAATGTAGATGTCTTAGTCCAAAAGCCTCATTCTTCATGCTCTTCAGCTAGATCCCTTGTGCATCTAGCTCACTGCTCCAACAACGGTGTGAGAAAAAAATCATGCCAGAAATGTAATGAGTGATTCTTCTTGCTGAATATCTGTAAATTCTACATCGTGCCAGTTTATTTACCAGGCTATGCATTATTCACTCACTAAAGAGCTGGTTGAGAATTCAATACTTTAATCAAGAAAAATCACCTTTTCACAACAACATCTCTGCCACTACTTTGGCTGAGGACACATCCATTTGGGTTTGTGTTGCAGCAAAGCATTTATAGGCAAGCTCCTGTTGTTTTGCATCTTCATTCACCATTAATTCTCCATACAGATAAACACCCATAGCCTGCAAGAGGAAGAAAACAACCATTTGTTACATAACCCATTACAGCTAACTCGTTTGTTTTTAAGTAAGCTTGTTCATACAGCACCCCAACAATGCATATAGTATTGAATCTCATTTCACATTAACTGTACATATTTTTTTCTCCAAAATACCGTTCTCGGTCTCAGAGACAATTCCATCCGAGGAGGATTGTCTATATTACATTAAGTATGTTATCAAAAAAATTTACACTGATAATTGCTAGCTAGGGATCTTCTATCAGGAAAATGCTTTCCTGCTCTGTTTTTAACCCCGCTTTTCAGGTTGAAGTTCTTGGTGTCTCTTATGCACCAACAGAGCTATTTCTAAATATCTCCTGATAGAAATTTGAATGATCTTTAGTAGTGTCTTTCCCAGATGGGATCTTTCCAAATGAAGACATGGAGAATGCTCACTGGTGTGTGTCAATTAAAACAATCCATTCTGAGACACCTACTTAAATTTTGATAACTGAAAATGATAGATTTCTGGTTCAGGCCTGTCCCTTCCAGTAGATGAGCATATAGCAAGCTCAACGCTGGACTGGTAGGAAAAGGAAAAGCTCTTCTTAATGCTGATTTTGAAAGTCTCAGGAAGAAAAATTATGGGATGAAACCTTGTTCTTACTGAAGTCAATGCAATCAAGATTTCACCCTGGATTACCATATCGTTAGAGCCCTGAAAAATCTGCAGATATACCAGGGTTTGCAGATGCAGATTCAAATTTCGTATCTGCAAATTTGTGGATATCTGCATCTATGGACACAGATACAAATTTTCTATTTAGGCTGGGCTCTACATATGCTTTTCTGAAGATGCAAATTGCTTAAGATAGACTGACACTGATCTTGATCTTGCAACTGAACTGAGTATGGACTGCAAACAACATATATGCAAACTCAGTCCAATTATGTTGACCAGAGTTTTTACAAACATCAAGTTAACTCTTAAGGTCATGGTTAAGAGAACAATCATGATTAGTACATGGTGGGTATTAATATTCAATATAACATAGCAGTTAATGCAGGGGTGGGGAATACTTTTTGATGGGGGGGGGGGGGGGAAGCTACAACAAGAATTTGGAAAGTGGTCCAGGGCTATACTCCTCCATATTAATGGAGAAGGTGCTGTGTCTGGGATGGAGGTTAGGCGCAGAAGGGAGCCTGCAGTAAACGATTGGGGTACAGGAGGCAGTTGTGATTGGGGCAAGGACTTGGGGTGCAGGATCTGGGAGGGGATATGGCTGCAGGATGGGGGGGGCAGAAGGTTTGGGTTGTAACTAGGGATGTAAACAAGTAGTAGCTGTCAAAGCACCCCAAAGGGGGTGGAGGAGCAGGAGTCGGTGCTGCAGGGAGCTGGCTTAAGAGCCGGTTCTCCCAGCACCAGCTCCATGGTGATGCCTTTCCCCTGCTATCAGAGGTGGGTGGGTGTTCAAGAGGAGAGGCTGCTGCAAAGCAACCCGTCTGCGGGGAGCTCAGCTCCCCCTCTACAGAGAGGCACTGCTGCTGGACCAGCCTCTGTCTGAGGACAGAGGCTGCTGTGCAATCCTACCCGCAGCAGCTTCTGTATCAGACAACATCATAGTATTGAAGGGGGCTCCCCAGGAGTGGGGCCAGATTGCGCTGGCTGCTGGCCCCAACCTCAGGGGCTATAGAATAGTTGAGTAACTGCTAAGAATTCATTTGCTTAGTTGACTATTCAGTTACCCAATAGCTAACATCTCTAGTTGTGACATGGAGCAGAGGGTTGGTGTGTTAGAGGCAGATTCTGGCTGGGAGACTTACCTGCTTGACTCCCAGCCAGCAGCCTTCTCAAGCAGACTCCTTGCCTGCCCAGCCCCCTAACTGGCTACAGAATCCATGTGGTTTTTTAGCAGCTACAAGCATGAGGGGAGGATGCCTCCCAAGCTGCCTGTTAACAGGCAGCTCCCATTGGCCAGAAATCAGATAATGGGATTGTGCTGGAGGCAGGAGCAGCGCATGAAGCCTCTCCTCTTTTCCCTAAGCCCCGCAACAACCACTTCACCCCTTTTCTCAGCGGGGAGAGGAGGCAGGGAGTCTGCCTGATGTCTGTGGGCCAGATCTGGTGGCTTTGGGACAGGGTTGCCAACCATCAGTAAATTTACAAACAGTCTGTAAAAAGCTAGCCGAAATTGGACATGTCCGTAAAGTCCGTAAAAAAATTGTTGGTGTCCACAAATTTCATAAAAGCGCAATACATTTTCAAAAAACAGCAATTATTCTATAGCAATTAAGTTTCTTCTGTGCTGCTTCAACCATTTTACTGCGGAGCAGTGGAAATTGGACATTTTAGTTGTTTATTTAGCTCACTTTTGAGCCATTTATGTCATCTTAATATAAAAATTATGTCTGTAAAAAAATTTGCCTGTAAATTTCTCCCATTTTGTCCATAAATGAAATTTCTGTGGGTTGGCAACTCTGCTTGGGAAACTGCATCTGGCCCGCAGAGGCTATTTTTCCTAGGCCTGAGTTAGTGCTGAAAAAAGAATAAAAAAGTTATCACTAGAAAAAGATACATTTTAATTTATTTATTGAAACTTTCTCTTCGAACTGGCTCTAGAAATTATCAGGATTTTACCACTGACAAAACTAAAATAAAAACAATAGTGGACAATGTTGTTTGCCTTAGAACTTCTGTGGCAGTATGCCTGCTAGAGTTCTATTCTTTTTGGCAAAGAATTTCTAAATATTTGGATTTTGTTCCAAATCAGAATGAAACCAAATTCTGAAATATAAAATCCTCCATAAAATGCAGTAAACTACGCGTTTTCTGTTATTCCCAAATAGGATGAAATAATCACAGTTGCATTTTCTGTAGGCTTTGAAAATAGCAATGTACTTTATGATCAGTAAGACCAACAAAGTGCTTTGATTTCACACGCAATCAATCCAGAACTTAGCTGTGCCACAAACTGTACACCATGCTGAAGTAAGTTAAAAGAAAGATGATTTTAAAATATTCTTTCCTTACGAAGCGGAAGACTGTTGATCCTTATTTGGCATATTCACTGTTCTAAATATACCGCTGTTCAACTTGGCTTCTAATAGAAAGCTGCATCTATGGGGCCTAAATGCCAGTTTCTATATATCTGAGAACTTTTATATACTAATTAAAATGTGCACAGTATGTACATAAGTTTACAGTTTCTATATATCTGAGAACTTTTATATAATAATTAAAATGTGCATAGTATGTACATACGTTTATACATGTTTACATAATGTGTTTATCAAATTGTTTGCTGGGAATTTTAGACTAGTTCTCTGTCTTGTGCATATTAGGAGTATAATCTAGATCTAGAAGATTAGAGTTCAGGAGACTGCACTCCAGTAGCGTGACAATCTTTTGTCACAAAAAATACATCTTGTTTGATTAGCCATAAAAAAAATTCACATTTCAAATAAAGAGTAAAGTTTAGTATATTGAATGTAGCTGGAATATCCTGCAATTCTTTTTTTAATTGGGGTGTTTGTGTGTAAATGCTTTGTTTTTGCAAAATATTGTGAGAATGTACATATTAAAGTTAAATGTTGAGTAAAAATAAATGCAAGTGATCTTGTAAGGACAGAATAATTTAGGCTCTATTGCATATATGCAAAATCTGCACAAGATAGGATTCCTTGACCTTAACTGAACAAGAGTCTTACATTTAATCCATGCTTAAACGAAGTTCTAACTGAGGTTTTACCTAATCTTAAAATCATTTCCTAACCTAAATTTCTACCTGAGCTATAACCTGGACTGTTAACTTGATTATAAGAAGGTTTTGCTCTATCCACATTCATTCAGCCAAGCCAGGTTTTTACAGGGTTTGACCAAACAGTTTAAATTGCTTACCTACCATTGTTAAACCAGCATCTTTTGCCTAGAAAGACAGGACCTTGGAAACTATTTTTGGTAAAAAGTAGTTATTCTGTGAATCAAATTCAGATATCAGACAATTCACAGCTAGAGAGGAAGTTAAAATCAGTTTATATTCTGACACAACGTTACTATGAAAACGTTAATAAATAAAACTAACCTGATCTTCCCTAAGAAATGTCTCAACCTCAGCATACCTTGTTGTGTATTTGTGTTTAATAATAAGCTCACACCATCGATGCCGAACCTGTGGAAAAGAAAAACTAGTATTAAACATACACCCTGTATAAATATGCACTCAACTACAATTTGTGAGCATTCTGGAGAAATGACAGTTTGTGAAACATTTTCAAGTACTTCAACTTCAATAAGACTTGCTAATCTGGTTGAAAAATCTGTGCGCCCCTGAATATGGACACAAATGAAGTTCCTATGTTTAAGGGCAGATGCTGCTTACAGCATTGAGTTATGTGTCTCTGCAAACCATTAAATATACTAAAAATAAAGTGTGCAAAGAATAAAATCTATAAGCAAGATTTTAACCCCCAAAATATTTGGGGAAAAAAATGTCAAAATAATCCAAATCACAACAAACCTGTTGAATCGGTGATGTGTTTTAAAAATATATATTATTCTACAAAACTGCCTTTTTAAAGTTACACTTAGCATTAGAATAAATACTTTTCTCTTATAATTTTACAAAGAAGAAAGTTATTGCTTCAAAGCAGACAGATTTAGGCAAGTGTCTAGTGCAAGCGCATGAGGTTAAACACATTTTTGTACAACTTGTATCTGAGGGACAAGTGCTGCATGTATGCCATCATGAAAAGGATCGAAGTTAAATGAGAAATAATGAAACAGTTTACATTTCAGTAAACCAGTGTTTTGCCAATACAGCTTTAAGCTACTTAATTGCTGTACTGAATGCACTTTGATTAAAGCAATTAATGTTTGCAAACAGCTAGTGAATGATATTGCTACTACAGTGGGCAAAGTGGCAAGTGCAGCTTTTTAAAAAGCTTTGGCATGCTTTGTATTGCCTGCATCTTTATACCTTTAAAAAAATATTTTAAATAAAAATAAAATAACATTTTTAACCATTCATTTCTCAGGCTTTAAGTGTCATCTTACACTGCACCAAGATTTCTTCAATTATAGTCAAAGAGCCAGTCAAACATTTTATATTCTGCAGAGGGGTAACTGAGTTAGTCCATAACAAAAAAAGTTAACACACAACAAATAGTCTGGTAACACTTTAAAGACTAACAAAACACATAGATGGTGGTATTAGCTTTTGTAGGCAAAACCCACTTCTTCAGATGACCACAGTATAATGAGTCCTGATCCAAGGATAAATAAGGGAAGGAGGGAGCATAATCCTGAAACCCATCCCTGCAATCAGCTCTGCTGCCAACTCTGCACACACATCTATACGAACGATTTCATCACTGGACCCAATGACATCAGCCACAAAATCAAAGGCTCATTTAACTGCACATTTACTACTGGGATCAATGCCAGCAATGCCCCACTGCAATGTATATTGGCCAAACTGGACAATCTCTACAGGAAAGAAATAATGGACACAGATCAGATATCCGTCCGAAAAGACAATACACAAAAGCCTGTTGGAGAACACTTTAATCTTCCTGGATACTTGTTAATGGATCTTCATGTCACCGTTTTGTTTCAGACCAATTCCACAAGCCAAATACACAGAGAAGGATTGGAACTTAGCATAAGAATTAAACTTGTGAATGAAGTTAATGGTCTAAACAGGGATACTGGATGGCTCTCACACTATTTTCCACCTTTTAATAACTTAACCAACCAACCAAGATGCTAATGGTTCTTGATGGACTCCTGTAACTACTTGAACCATCTACATGTTTTATTAGTCTTTGAAGTGCTACTAAACTAATTGTTGTTTTTTTAAGTTTTATCTACTTACTGTCCCTCTTTTTCTTCTCCACCGCCTCCCCCCCTCCCCCACCTTATTTATCCTTGGCTCTGGACTCATTATACTCCGGTCATCTGAAGAACTGAGTTTTGCCCACGAAAATGATACCATCTACATGCTTTGTTAGTTTTTCAAGTGCTACTAGACCAGTGTTTCCCAATTTTATTTGGCCACTGAACCCTTTTAAACTCAGAAGAATTTCAAGGAACCCCTACGGGGCGGTGGGAAGAGAGGAGGGGGAATTTGTCAAGCCAAAAAACCCCCACACACATACCACCAGGAAAAAACAAACAAAACCCCGGGGAGTGGACCAGGGAGACCTGGGGGCCAAAATGCAGTCACGCATGTCCCGAGCAGCCTTTGGAAACACAGAGCAGAAGAAGGGGAAGGGAGGTGCCTGAAAGCCAGCGGAAAACCAGAGAAGGAGCCGGCGTCTTTGCGCACTGGCTCCTCTTTGTCTCTTTAAGGGGGGAGGAGGGAAGTGATCAAGTTCTCGTGGAATCCTTACTTTCACTTCGCGGAACCCCAGGGTTCCGCAGAGCACCATTTGTTGCTTCAGGTTTTTTTTTTTACTTTATATTCTATTACTGACATAGCATTCACTCAAAAATAAAACAGTTAAGTGTATTAAAAACCTATATTGCAGCTTGCTTTTACTGCCTTGCAAACGGGAGACATAACGGGGCCAGCGTCGACAGGCCCAGGGCTGAATCACTCAAGTCCTGGTAGGTTGGGCATGGTGTGGGATGAGTCCAGAACCTTATTACACCTCTTGGGAGTGGGACTAGCCCCCTTCTGTCATCTTTTCCTTGCATGGTACCGTGGAATGGGATTGGTGCCAGGAGGATGAGCCCCTCTGGAAATGTTTGCCAACTTTGCGCACACTGCTTGAAACCCTAGGACTCCAGGAGCACGAACAATAAGAGGGGGAACTTCCTCCTAAACTAACTACTCTAAAGTAACCTGAACTAATCTACACAACAGAAACAACTAAAGAATGTTATGCTAGGGACTAAATATTTGCAAAGCAAGAAGTCAGAAGCCCCAACAACAGTCACTGGCGTGACCCAACGGACACCACGAGGAAAAAGTCATCCGATAATCATGCACACCGTACACACACACGTATTGGAATGTACATGTGCAATCATTCAAAGAACCACCAGGGGAAATGAAAGTAGGTCTTTCTTTCAAATAAGGGGACACTTGAGTCAATTTCAAGTTGATGCAGTCTGTTACTTAAAGCCCTACAAAACCCATAAGTCTTTGTTCACCCTTTATCATTACTGCAACAAAGGATACATTCTGAACTTCTAAGGATTCAGTAGTCAGCTATCATCAGCTTTGCATCACAGGAGGGAACTTCAGATGCTTATATAAACTGAATTGACAGTCTCATTAAAATCATTAACAAGAGATGAATGGTTGCAGGCTTTGGAAAATTTCTCCTTGTGTCCTTGATTTCTTTACTGTGTGGCCTCTTCCATAAAATGCTGGAATGCAGCTTCTTATTACAACAAGGAACTAAGGAAATTCAGGGGTCTGGGTAGAGGGGGATGTGGAGTTAAGTGTTTAGACTCATTTATTAAACACCTAGTAATAAGTACATAAGACAAACAATAAAAAGGCTACTTGTGTGCTGAGGACATATTCTGTTTCTTACATAGTTACTGCTGATGAGCTAAAAATATTAAAAGCTTACATGCAGAACAACTGTGACTGTACGAAAGAGAGGGTCTTACTTTACAGAAATTACTCGTTTAATACGTTTTCACTTAACACGTTTTTGCAATAGCATGATTCTTTTTAGGGAACGTTTTTTGAATAACGCGACCGTCTCCAAAATAACACGAAAATAATCAAGTGGCAGACTACTTCGTGTGGCAGTATAGGTTGGTGAAAACAGTGGTAATACGCATGAGTGGATGAATACACGTGGTCACAGCGCTCCTCCACTCACTCGTGTGTTTATCTTTGTGTTTTAACAAACCACAGTGACTTGTGTTGCTAGATATCTAATGTTGACGTTGATGACCGAGCACCAACAAAAAATTGACTTTGCCACCACCGCATGAAACACAACCCCCACCTTTTCCATTATTTTTAATGGGAAAATGGACCCCGCATAGCATGTCTTCGCTTAGCACGAACATTTTCAGAAACGCATCTATAGTGTTAAATGAGGAATTACTGTATACGGGCCATTCCCGCTGTACATCGCTGCTGTATATGTTGGTTTCACACTAAAGTTGATGAATTTAGGAATGGTTTCCTCCCATTCCCCGATCTTATGTTGCTCAGAACAAAAATTTGTTCAAATGCAAGTCAGCAGCTTGAATGCAAATCAAAGGAATTCCTCACTTTACTCCCACTTTTTTGGAACGTATCTTGGACATATAGCGGGGCCTGTATTTGTGTCCTATATACTATGTTAACTGTGTTATATATTCTATACGTTCCTTGCTAGTATATCTTTATCATTTGATTATCTTGGAACCATCTCCTTAGACCCTATCAAGGTTCTGTGTGTGACCCATAAGATATTTTGTGTGCTGTTGCCCATGTATACTGTTGCCAAGATTCTACTGGTTTCCACCCACATCATGGTTCCCCCCCAACACACACACCAATATTACTAAAATAAGACACACAAAGCAAGGGCACATGAAGTGAGAAGTATACTGACTGGACACCGCATTCACTGTGAAAGTCATGTGCTCCTACTGCACCCAAAGCACTGCTATGGTTCAGTTAGAACACTTCACAATTTCTAAGTACGCCAACGCCGTTAGCAAAACTACCCTATCTTAGGAAAACATCTGAGATGAAGGAGGGACACAAGTGCCCCACTCACTAACCTAAACTGCCCAACACGGCCTTAAACTATTGCTTCCTACACAGGATACTTGCTATTGGCACTAAACATTTTAAAATATTTAGTAAAAATTATGGCATTCAGCTAACCTTTTTTTCTGACTCTGAGAAGAAAAAAAAATAGTACTGTCCTAATTCCCAGTTTTCCAAAATTGAGGTTCATAGAATCACCTGTCTAGATAGAAGCATCATGTTTTATCCCCAGACTGCATGTTCGCCTCTTTTCACAAAGCCCAAAAAGCACTTTCAACGGAACAAACTGCAGGAGAACCAGTCATTAACACTTTTGCAAACACAATATTCCAATAATTCCCAACTGCTTTCTAATCCATCATATGCAGTGACTGCCAGTAAATAGTGGGCACAGCTGAAGATTGTTTAGCTGTGAGAGGAGCTAAGGCTCACTTTGAGCA